TGAACGGATAGAACGAACCCATCTGTCTTGGAGGAAGTACAACCAGAATGATCTTTAGAAGCACGACTGCTTTTCGTGTATTCCAGACATGCTATTAGGAGAGACCAGTCCTGGGAGAAGGACATCATGCTTGGTAAAATAGAGAGGCCGTGAAAAACAAGAAGACCCCGAGATGGCTTGACACAGTGGCTTCAACAAAGGGCTCAAATCTAAATGATTGTGAGGATGGCGTGGTGGTTTAGTCCGTTATACGCAAGGTTGGAACTGGCTGAATGGACACCTAACAGCAACAACAGCCGTGTGGAGTTGTTTGAATTTTCATTAATATTTTATTTTTTTTTAAATCACGTATCTGTTTTACCAGCCATATTTCAAGCACTTGATATGTAATTAGTAACAATCATAGCATAGGGCAGTTTGATCTAGAACAGTGGTTCTCAACTTGGGGTTGCGACCCCTTTAGGGGTCAAACGACGCTTTCACAGGGGTCGCCTAAGACCATCAGAAACACATCTTTCCCATGGTCTTAGGAACCGAGACACGGCTCCTCTATCCGTCTCCAGGCGGGACCACCCACATGCAGATACGCCCACCTAGGAGTACCCGGTGTGAAGACTGTTACCCAGGTGACACCGTGCTTCAAGACAACATTTCATTGATTTGTAATTAGACATAAATATTTCACAACATATAGTTACATATTGTTTGGTGATTCATCACTATGCTTTGATTATAGTCAATTTGTAACAATGAAAACACATGCTGCATATCAAATATTTACATGGCAATTCCTAACATTAGCAAAATGACAGTGATGAAGTAGCAATGAAAATAATTTTACGATTGGGGGGTCACCACCACACGAGGAACTGTATGAAAGGGTCGTTGAGAACCGCTGCTCCAGAATGTCCATCTTCAGGAAATTCTCTTGGACAGCACTTCTCTAGAGATATTACCATTGATTCCTCTCTCCCTCATCACCCACCTCTAATCCTTCAGCAAGACCTATGGTGTGGTAGTTATATAATCTGTTGTCAATTTGAGAGGATTAACCGTGAAGTGGGGGGTTGGAGTTTAGCCCGTCAATTAGTTTGCAGCTTGATGACCTCAGTTGGAGGCACTAAGGAGACAAATCGTTTGCTGGAGGCAGGACACCCGCTCAGTCCCTGTGAGACATTCTTGTTGACAAGTCACATGGCGACAGGCTGATGGCAGCCAGAGCCTCGGAGCTGGAGGACCCACGTGCAGACCCACGCCACCACTGAGATGCTTACACAGCCACTGGATCCACAAGACTTCCCACCCACTGGCCTGTGATTGTCCTGCATGCAGCGTCATTGCATGTGTTTGTATGAATCTTAAGAGGACTTTATAGATTGGTATCGGACATATGGGCTAATATCAGACTTATGGACTTGATCTGGACTGGGCTGGGATGTTTTCTCAATATTCAATTGCTCTTGTATATAAAGCTCTTTCGTATACACATGTGAGTGTCTAGGAATTTGTTTCTCTAGGCTACCCAGACTGACACATATGGCTTTTACCTGGGAAATATTCCCTGAGATGATCCTCTTTTCATGGGTTGACTTGGTCTACACCACTCTCACCTGTCACTAGGACAGCTGAGCCCACTTTCTTGATTATTGTCCCCAAGTCAAATCTCACCCATCTATTACCATCTTCTCGACAACTAAAGGAATGGGTTTTTTTTTTTTTGTTTGTCTTTTGCCTCAGAAACGAAAATCAGGTCATCAGGTCTTGCCCTGCTAAAAACCTTCCTACGATTTCTATGGCAGGGACTGAGATTCAACCCCCACTCCCACCCCCAGATCTCTTCTCTCCGTCTACCTCAGGTGTAAAATCTCTTAAACTTTCGGTGGACACAGAGAGCCTAGAGTAAAGCATACATTTTCCAGAGTCCCTCCTTGCCCTGCTGGGATGGGAGCTACTGTGTGCTGAGTGCAGTTTCCTGGCACGTCCTTCAAAAGAGCCGGCCCTCTCTGCTGTTGTCATACTGATAAGGCAGACCACGAGGTGAACTGTGCCCTGTGGAGCAACACGATAGAAAGAACCCGGGTCCCTGACAAAGGGCGACTACCCACCAACCTCAGAAGCCTACCTAGACTTTTACATGAGAGAGAAATAAACTTCTCCTTATTTCAACTCCAATTACTTGGGGGTCTTCTGTCATAACCTTACAAAGATAAAAACAAAACAGGAAACAGTTGCCATTTGGTCACTTGGGATCCGTGTGCTCCACAGGGCTTTCAGAAGTACCAGGAGGTCCCCAAGGCACCTCGGGGTGCACCTAAACTTAGCAAAGGAGCACTTGGCTTGTCTGCATCACTTGCTTACAGGCTCTTTTAGTGGGACTGAATAAGGTGCTCCTAACCCCAGCCGTGGCATTTGCAATCACCTCATATGCCTGTGAAAGCTGGACAATGAATAATGAAGAGACCGTGCTAGCTTGATGCCTAGTGGCAGGTCACCTAGTGACAGGTGAGAGTGGCGTAGACCAACACTGACGAGAAGAGGATCGTCTCAGGAAATGTTTCCCAGGTAAAAGCCCTAGGTCTTGCTAAAGGATTAGAGGTGGGCGATGAGGCAAAAAGGAATAGATGGTAATATCTCTAGAGAAGTGCTGTCCAAGAGGATTTTCTGAAGATGGACATTCTGGATCCAATCACGGTGTAGGCAAAGAGCATTCAAAGGATATGGACTATCAGAAAAATAAGCCAATGTGTCTTGGAGAAAGGACAGCCAGCGTGTTCTTTAGAAGCGAGGGTGACAAGACTTTGTCTCACCTACTTTGGACACCTTATCAGGAGGGACCAGGATGTCATGCTTGGTAAAGGGTCCGAGAAAAAGAAGATCCTCAAAGAGACGGATTGACGCACAGGCTCCAACAACGGGCTCAACCAAGGCTACGGTGATGGGGGCGGTACAGGAGTGAGCAGTGTTTCCTTCCATTGCTTGAAGGGTTGCTATAAATTCGGGACTGACTTGATGGCACCTAACAAGGAGAACAATCATTCTGCCTAATACAGTTCTCCAACACACTTAGAAGTACGTCCAATCTCCTTACCAAAGTCCGGAGGGACCTGCATGAGCTAGTCTCACTCCAGAATCCTTCCTACTCTCTCTTCGTTCACCATGCTCCGGCTACTGTGGCTTTTTTTTTTTTTCTGGCTGGCTCCACACATCAAGCTTCTTTGGGCTTTCAGGCCTTGGTACTTACTCTTCTCTCTGCCTGGGATTCTCCTCCGGAGACTCCCTCCAGGCTGGCTCCCTTTTGATATTCTAGCCTCAGCTGGAAGACTGTTGAACTTAAAAGAGTTGGTCTCCTAACCAGCCCAACCTAAAGGTCTCAGTAAGTGACTCTCCTTTGCGATACCTTACTAAACTTAGATGTGCTCATTACCGATCTCCCCACACTGGAATAAAAGCTCCAGGAGGGGTGTGAACTGGTGTTTGTTTCTATCACTGTAGTTCCAGTGTCTAGAAGTTGAACTTATGACTTCTTCTCTGGAAAACAAGGATTCTGCCAATGGAGCATAAATGCAATTGTATTTATAGAGCACTTCCTATTTCTCCTCTTTCCCTTCCTTTCCCCCCTCCCTGCCCCCTCCTTGCACATCCCCTAGTGGATTCCAAGTTGTAGCAAACCCACGGGACAATGTAGAACTGCCCCCAAGGGTTTCCTTGACTGTGGTCTTATGAAGTCGGCAGCCTGGTCCCCCCACCCCCAGCAGCTGCTCGATGGGTTAGAAGCGCCACACTTTCAGTGAGGACCACCAGGCCTCCTTGTCCCCTTGGCCTCCCATATAACCACGTTTCTTCTGCTTTGCCTGACTCTCCTCCACGCGTCTACCTGAGAGTGTTGTTGTTGCCACCACGTTCTCTCCAACTCATGGTGATCTTCCTTGCGCTGCCCCAGCGCTGCCCCATCTTCCCTTCGTTGTGTCGTCCTCATCTTGCAACACCCCATCAGACAACTTTCTGTTGTGATACAGAAAGTTGTCATGAACTCCATTTTTGGAAGTAGATTGCAGGCCTTTTCCCCCCAGCCCCTTTACGTTTGAAAGTATAAAACCAAACCAAACCCATCGCTGTGGAATGATTCCGCTACGCTATGAAACTGAGTGGAAATGTCTTCCGGAGAGACCAGTTCCTGGAGAAGGACATCATGCTTGGTAGAGTGGATGGGGCAGTGAAAAAGAGGAAGGCCCCCAGGGAGATGGATGGACACAGTGCCTACAACAGTGGGCTCAGGCATAGGAACAATTGGGAGGGTGCTGCCGGACCAGCCAGTGCTTCCTTCTGTTGTGCACAGGGTCGCCCGTGGGTGGGAACCGACTCGATGGCACAACATGGGACAGAGCAGAACTGCTCCACTGACTTTCCAAGGCTATGGATCGTTATGGATGCCGGCTGCCATCCCTCTCTCCGACACAGCAATTGGTGGATTCAAACCATTGGCCTTTGGGGTAGCAGCCGAGCCCTTTAACCACTGCGCCACCACGGATCGTAGCCTGAAAGGAGGGCTTTGAAATTTGGCGGGAATTAACGTCATCGGGCGGTTGAGCCCCAGAGCTGCGCGCCCCCGCATCCCCAGGGGACACCTTCTCTTGCTTGAGCTAACTTTGCAGACTGGCCAGCCAATCAGAGCTGGCATCGGAGCCCCAGTTCCGGGGTAGGCAGGGAGTTGGGGGAGGACACCCCAAGGCTAGCTGGGAGGCAGCTGGGCAGGAAGGCATGGCGAGAGGAGGAGGAGGGGACAAGAGGTCACTGCTCTCCCGGCTAGTGCCTCGGACGGAAGGGCGAGGCCGGCAGCCCGAAGGCAGTGGGCGCAGCGACGGCGGCTCCTTTAACCCGAGGCCGTGCAGGGTCCGACCAATCAGCGCGAGGAGGTGGGAGGAGACTAGCCAATCAGCGTGCGGAATAGGGCGGGGGTGGGGCTCCGGGAGTCTCGCGCGGCCGCCGTCGCTGCTGGGCTTCTGTCGGGGTAGCTGAGCGCGCGGAGGCGGCTGAGGAGGCGGGAAGGCGGCAGGAGTTGAAGGGGCGAAGGTTCGAGCGAGCGGGCAGTGATGGTGATGGCGGCGAAGAAGGGCCCAGGCCCGGGCGGCGGGGCCGGCGGCGGAGGGAAGGCGGAGGCGGAGGCGGCCTCGGAGGTGTGGTGTCGCCGGGTGCGCGAGCTGGGCGGCTGCAGCCAGGCCGGGAACCGCCACTGCTTCGAGTGCGCCCAGCGCGGGGTCACCTACGTGGACATCACCGTGGGCAGCTTCGTCTGCACCACCTGCTCCGGCCTCCTGTGAGTGGGCGGGGGGGGC